GCCATGTCCCGCTTCTTCCAGGCGCTTCGCCGCGCCGGCAGCGCCCGGGCGGGGGGTCCGGGCGTGGAGGAGGCGGACGTTTACCGGTGGGGTCTGACAGGTCAGCGGGCCGCCGCCGGTAGCCGGCCAGGCCCCGGACTGCCCCCCGGGGGAAGGGGTGGTGAGGGAGCGGGAACGCGCGTCGGGGGGTCGGTTTGTGCGAGAGGATGTCGGAGGGGCCCTGGGGCTGTGCGGCCGTGGGTCGCCGGGGCTCTGTGTGAACAGCCACCGGGTCTGAAAGAAATGAGCGGCTGAGGGAACTGGGGGGGTTTAGTGTGGAGAAGAGGAGGCTGAGGGGAGACCTCCTGGCCCTCTACAGCTCCCTGAAAGGAGGGTGCAGAGAGGGGGGATGAGTCTCTTGAGCCCAAGGAACCGGCGCCAGGCCAAGAGGGAATGGCCTCAAGCTGTGCCAGGGCAGGGTCAGACTGGCTCTTAGGAAGTATTTGTTTGCAGAAGGGGTTGTTGGGCGTTGGAATGGGCTGCCCAGGGCAGGGGGGGAGTCCCCATCCCTGGAGGGGTTGAAGAGTCGGGTTGACCCAGCACTGAGGGATCTGGTGGAGTTGGGAACGGTCAGTGTGAGGTTCATGGTTGGAATGGATGATCTTCAAGATCTCTTCCAACCTAGATGGTTCTGTGAAATAAAGGCAAAAATAAATAAATGTGGCTCCCGGGGCGCAAATCAGGCTACTGCTGCTCTGTGCAAGCCTTCTCAGTCCCACGCTCCTCAGCTTCACAGTAAGGCGGGTGGTTAGGCCAGAGCCTTGGCTCCCTGAGTCCTGCTTTTAGGGCTGCCATGGCTCTGCACAGACAACTCTGCTTCAAGAGCAGATCATCAGGCCTCAGAGTGGTTTCATGTTGAGCATGAAAGCTTTAAGGTGCTCTCCACTGCCTGGAGGGTGGATGCAAAAGGGGGGCGCCTGGGCTATCCAGCCTGCTTGCGTGTTTTCCTCAGCTGTGGGGAGCCCGTTTTTCAATCCCTCTGCTACTAGGGTTTCAGTTTCCCCAGGGAGGAGACGGCAGCAGTGCCATAGAGTTATTAACAATATACAGCACTTGAGTCCAGGTACAAGGAAAGATCTTGAGATCTCTTACCCAACTAGTTTTGTGTTTGTTTTGACATATTGTGCCCCATAATAAGGGCTGCAGTAGTGGTAGTAGCCACAGTGGCCTACTTAAGTGCAGGAAAACTGGAAAACATCTTGTTGAGAAATTATTATTATACAAGAGTAGATTATTAGAAACATTTCCAGTAGCCTAAAGCATGTCCCTGGGTCTAGTACTTATATATTTTTAAAAGTGTCTGGAGCTGAAAATTAGGCTTTCTTTTAGGCATGCAAAGTAGTAGCTTAATTATCAGATTAGGTTCCTTGTACAGGCCTTTGTAATGACTTGGGGCATTTGTGTATGCACAAGTTCCTGAATATGTTTTAATGGATTTGCTGTAACACCGGTGTCTCTGCTCTCCAGCAAGGGTAAACCAGCTCCTGCTGAAAACTGGTGTGCTTTTCCTGTAAGGCAGATGTTTGAGAAGGCCTGTTCTGGGTCAGGACCCGTTTCTGGTGGCTTCAGGGTGTAGCTGTGTATAGAGTGTATTGGATGATTGTGTAAATGTAACAAATTGCTTTTATTCCCAGGCATTAAGCTTCGTCCCTATCAAATAGAAGGTGTGAACTGGCTGGTTCAATGCTACAAAGTCCAGCATGGCTGTATCCTGGGAGATGAGATGGGTCTTGGCAAGACTTGTCAGGTGTGTCGTCTTATTCTGCAAATTCATCTTTGCCTAACAATTTTTTAGCCCAGTGTTTCTGCAGAATGAAAAAGAAAAAGCACCCTAATGATTGGTCAGTTAAGCAGCCCCATCCTGAAGTCCATACTCGGAGAGCTCATTGTTTCTTTCATTCCTTAATCACTTAAAACAACTGTTAAGTCCTGAGTAGCATTCTGAAAATGTTTTGGGGTTTTATAGCAAGATGAGTGGTCGTTTTATACAGACATCTTAATACATAATTCATAGTGCACAGAGTTGAAGGCACAATACGCAGCCAGTACAGAGAGGATGATGTTGTTTTGATGCACCTGCAGCAAGGTGATTTTTGAGTTTGTCAACACATGGGTGCAATACAATACAGGTGCAAGTTTTTCAGAGTTGTTTTTTTTTGGTAAGTTTTTCAAGGATTTTCAGTTTTGTTGGAAAATGACTGCTTGCGCTTTGGTTCAGCTGGTGGTATTCAGTGGGTCTTAAATAACAAAGTGGTAGTTTTAGAAAGTGATGTATGGTAGATCTTCTTTTTTGTAACTGTGAGGGAAAGGTATTTGGAAAGGGCCTCCAGATATCGAGGTCACATTTTGGGATCTAAGCACTTCTGTCATTGATGGTGGATCTCATTTGGTATTCTGTTAGCTCTGCTTTGTGCTAGAGAACCTGTGGGAAATAGCCACAGAGCTCAAAAAGGAGGCAGTTTATGTAGGTTCAGGCTACTGGGCTGAACCCTTTCCTTGTTACCAAAAAAAATAATATTTTCCTTGCCTTCTAGACTATTTCTCTACTTCTTTATTTGACAAAAAAAATATCGAACAAAGAGAGATTTCTGATACTTTGTCCTCTGTCCATTCTGAGCAACTGGAAGGAGGAACTTGAGAGGTAAGTTTCAACAGTTGCCCAGCTCATCATATTCTTGCGCAGCAGGTTACAAAGATTCTCTTCAGAGGTGCTCAGTCCAACAGTTTTCTTCCTTTCAAAAGGAAAAAAAGTAAAAAAGGAAGCTTCTAAACCAACAAGTCAATGCAGACTATGCGGTTAATTCATAGTCTTTACAATGCCATGATATACATGAATTCATCTAACTTATAGGATTGGCTGACTTTCAGTCCAAATGCCCCCACTAGCTCCTTGATTTTTATTGATTTGTAACCCTCCATGCTCAGCCTCTCTTAGGCAAAATCTGCTGAAGACAGCCAGGATTCTGTATGATGAAAGGTAAGACCCAAGTTGAATAGTATCTTTCCTGGCATGCTCACATATGCATGCAAAACACATTACATCTGTGCATGCAACCCATCTTCACTGGGGCGCAGCGACTGTGCCAATGGCACATTTGCTGTATACATTTTTAAGCTGGAGCACAAAGATTCTTTTTAAGTGGGACGACAGAAAGTTAAAGATTAGAGCAGAAGCCTGTCTGTGTGGCTGTCAGGTGATGCTGTCTCTCAGCATCTGAAGTCATCCAGGTTACATTCCAAAACAAGTTGGCCTGATTTGGATAGACTTGTGGTTGGAATAGTTGGGGTAAGGTGCATACCTTCATAGGTCAGCAGGGAGCAACTGTCCAGGAGCAATATTAGGCAAATATCAGTGGTGGGATTGAATGAAGAAGAATTTTAAGGTTCCAGCTCTTCATCCATGGAACTCGTTTTATCTGCTTTTTGGCTAAGAGGAATATGTTTTTGAGGCCCTAACTTGGGCCTGTTTGCTGCAGACATTGTCTGTCTTTATTTAGGCCAATTCTTTGGTTGCATCTGGGCAAACCGTATTCATTCACCTGCTTCTCATGAGCTTTTTCATTTCAGAATAGCAGATGGGCCATGAGACTGGTTTTCAGTCATGTGCCTTGGACTTTTGAGACCTAGGAGAATGCAGTTTATTTGGGACTTGTCTGAACCAGAACCAGCAGCTGAGGTGCCAACCTGAGATGCAAATGAATCAGGAAAGGGGTTAGATTCAGAAGCTGAGATCCAGCCAGATCTCACAGGAGGGCAGGGTGTTTGGGTAGGAGGTTCTTATTATCTGTGCAGTAGCTATGTTTGAGAATGGGGTCCAGAGTCATGAACACATGACAGACAGGTTGGCTCACCATTTTCATTCTGTCTTTCTCTTGGCAACAGGTTTGCTCCAGGTCTTTCCTTTGTGACTTATATAGGCAACAAGGAGGAGCGCCCCAAACTGCAGCAGAACCTGAAAGAGCGATCTCACCTCCATGCACTCTTGACAACATATGAGGTACATGATGTCTTTGTTACTTGAAAGAGGAGGGCTCAAGTTTTCCCTCACCTTTTCCATAACTCTGTACCACCCAGCTCTTGTGTTATCCTCTGTACTCATCTCTGACCTTCCTCAGTGATTCTACTCTGTAGAATCTACTCTGTAACCTATTTCACCAACTCATCTAAGTTCATGCAGTTTTTGTGTCCCTAGGATAATCTAATTTAACTCCATCTTTACTGCATAGCTGTATCACACCCTGGATAAAGAAAACACATGCTTCTGATGATAAAATTCTGTGCTTTTTAAGGATTTCTCTTGAGTGACCTGATTTCTCTTCCTCTGGATTTGAAGTTGGGCAAGCAATATCTGTGCTTTAGGGTGCTGTCAAGACATTGTAATAGCTTAGATTAATCCACTGAAGCAAATTTGGTTACAGTGAAAAAGACTGTGATGCTGACGGTGCATGGTGCTTCTTACTGAGTCAGAAAGATATGAAAAACTTCGCAGACGTGAGGAGCATTTATGGTGTGTGTAAATTTCCATTAATTCTCTGAGGTTCTACTGCTGGTGTTTTGCCAGACAAGAGTTAAAATCTAGGACCATAACAGCTTGTGGTTACAATACTGTCATGTTACTTTTCTCAGGTGAGAAGTGGCTTCATTCCCCTCTCCTTCATTCCACCACATTTTGCAAGTAGACAAAAAGATGTTCTGTGTCTTAACTGGTGTATTAACTTTAACTTAAGTCATAAATCACCATTCATTTCTTTGCATTGCAGATTTGTCTGAAGGATGCAGCATTTCTAAAATCGTGAGTCTGGTTTTAATTGTTTCAAATTTAATTCTGCACATCTGTCAGCGATTCTTAAGTGCATGTTTGTATGTCTGTAAGATCCCACATTTGTTTCACAAGACCCAAGGATGTTCTTTGCTTGTGATTAGAGCTTTGCTTTTGTTAACTTTCAATGAAGAATCTTTAATGTCAGCGAAGATGTACATGAACTTCCCCCAAGGACAGTTTTCAAGCCAGTGGAGTCAAAATAATGTGATACATAGTGGCTTATAGTAGTACACTAAATATCAGTCCAGACAATTGATATTTAGAACAGGAGGTCCTCAAAAGCTTCAGGTTATAAAGGTATTAGATGCAAAATTTGCTGAAATTGACCTGCTTTATACTGTGGTGATCATGTGCTAATACCATATCCTGAAGTTTATTGCCTCCTGCCACCAGTCAGAACTGTGGAGGGTTTATGGAGCATTATGCTTTCCAGCAAGACTGATTACACAGCTGAAGCTCAGCCTGTAGGAAGTATTGCCATGGCCGTGCAGGATTATACAGAAGCCTACACTTGAAATGGGGAGGAATTTTCATATTTTTAAGTAATAGCACCAATGCCTTGCAAGAGTGATAAGGGCTGTGACAAATGCTGGGGGCAGCCAGATACCACGAATGGCTCAAGATCTTTGTGGAAGCAGAAACCCAGTGGCCCCCACTGACACAATTTTGGATCTCCCAGAACTAGTTAAGCCCACTGTGGGTGCCCCATTGGCCTTATGAAAGGTAGCCATGGCCATACAGTCCTTACAGTTTTGTATCATGTCCTGCATTGGTGCACATGATTCTGCTTATTTTGCAGCCTAACCCTGGGATGTAGTACCCAAGGATAGCAAGTAACTAGCCCTAGTATCACAGAAATGTCAGCTCCAGTGCAAATTCCTACTTCTAAGGCTACACATAACCTCAAAGCCATGTCACTTAAGGGCTTTTTTGCCCCCTAGTATTCCTTCTGAAAAAAGTGCTAATCATTTGTACCTTGTCCTGTGTCAGAGCACCTGGAGCACTTGTAAAGATGGGTCAGAGTTATCAGATGTCTTTATCACCACTTACAAGCAGTGTAACTACACAAATGAGTTGAGCAAGAGCCCTGTTCTAATCTCATGTGAAGATATTCAGTTGCTGAGCCTGTAGAATAAGAATAATGACATTTCACTGTCCTGGCAGTGGAGAACCACTCTTAAATAGCAAAGAAGGGAATCAAGGGATGCACAAGAGCTGTGGGGAGAATGTAGGTCCCTGTGATTCCAGGCCTTGTATTCCACTGAGAAGACAAGCATGTGGGTAAGAAAAGCATCATCCTCCAGCTTTCCCTCCCCTGCCTACCTATCAGCCAGACTTGACTATGTGGAAATCACTCTGTGGTAAGCAGACATGAACACTGAGACTGAAAAGATCTGGAGTTTGTATTAAGCCTAGTAGATCTACTAGGTCACCAGTGATTCTGCAGCCTACTTGATGAGACACTGCATATATCAAGGCCAGAACAAAGTGTAGGTCATGTCTTGGGTGATTTGCAAAAGGCTTGTAATCATTCTGCCATGACTACCTAATCACAGTTGTTAGTTTTTGCAGAGGTGTCAGGGCATAGTTTCACATGTCTCTTGTTAAAATTCTAGACCTACTTGAGTGTTTGACTAAATTGTGCTTATGTCATTTTCCCCATAGAAAGGAGGGGTGGAGACAGAAGCAACAAATTTGAGTGAATTTAGTTTTAATTTCAGAAAAACTCATCCAGGCTATGGTTGAGAAGCTGCGTTGGCTCTTGAAAACCAGTACTTGGTGAATTCCTCCCATCCTGCTTGTGATATTTGCTTGTGGTTCATGGGGTAGGACCATCTCAAGTTTAGCCAAGCAGAGCCACCACTTATTTCAGTCTTCTTATCCTGACAAGAATTAATTGCTTGCCCCTAATTGAAGAATGCTGTTTTTTTCAGCTTTGACTGGGCTGCCTTGGTTGTAGATGAAGCTCACAGGCTGAAAAACCAGAGTTCTCTGCTTTACAAGACGCTTTCTGAGGTAAAAGAACTCATCCATCTTTTAGCACCTAAAGCCTTTTTTCTCTTCAGTATAACATACAGATTCTCTTGAGTATTTATTAAGCTCTGGGCCACAACCACTTGCCGTCAGAGTTGGTGAACAGATTCTCATATTTAGTGGCAGAGACGTAATCTTGTTGGCTTTGCATGGAGGTGGGCAGTATTTGGAGTTTATCTCTCATTGTGAATCATGTTTGGGCTTGGCACGTTGACGCCATTTGAGAGACCAAAAAATGTAAAGCAGTCCGACATAGTTCTGAACCACAGCTGTGCTACTGATGTGGGAGAAGTCTGGCCGACCTAAGACAATTTAAAGCAACAAGAGGCTGTCTCCAGCTCTGGGAGGGAGAAGGAACCCTTGCCTAGTTCATGGGACCTCATGTCTTGAACAATTGACTTCTGTTGTCCCATCTAATGGAACCACCCTTTTTAAACTGGAATTAGTAGAATTACTCCAGCTTCCAAAGCACCCTGCCGAAGTACAATGAATGACTGAGTGAAGGTTAGACTTGTCATGCTGGTGAAACATGTGTTAGGTCTGGGATGGTACCAGCAACAATGAACTACAGTACCCTGAAAATTAATTTTTTTTATTAAATTCCTTGAAAGTCTTACATCTTCCAAATGTATTGTGTATGATATCTGTATTTCAGGAGCTTTGGTTGTAGCCACAAAGAAATAGGCAAGATTCACCTTAGCTCTCCTTTTAACATATTTTCTATTGCCAAAATTGAGAGAAGACTTGTATTTTTTCAAAGGTAACCATAATCCCCAAGTCTCTTTACAAGGATTACTGTAAGCAACTTGGACCAGAAAATGTTTCTGTGTTTGTCAGTTTGCCAGCAAACAGAAATGGAACGTAGTCTTTTGCAGTTTCATTTCTCTATCGTATTCCAACAGCATTTTCCAGTCATCTCTCATTACCTAACACTGAGTATGCAGTATTGGACTGTTGAGTGCAAGTATCTGAGAATTTTAATGGTGTTAGTTTTGCACTTTGTTCTTATTTTGCTTACAGTGTCTTCCTTACATTGGTGCCATCCTAGTCAGTTTGGTGGAGCTGTTTGTCACACCATACCTTATGTTGGATGGTTTTGGCAGACATTTGCAGCATTCTGCAGGCAGTTCTGTGCCACGTGTCATCTTAAAGAGTGGTGTGGGTGGAGTTGTATATGAAGTAACGTTTCATTCCAGATATTTTCTCCTAATAATTTTGTTTTGGTGCTGGTTCTTTCAGTTCTCAGTAGGCTTCAACCTGCTACTCACAGGCACTCCAATCCAGAACAGCCTCCAGGAACTGTACTCCTTACTCAGCCTTGTTGAGCCTGACATCTTTCCTAGAGAACAAGTGAAAGAGTTTGTTGAGTATTACCAGGCGATTGAAAAGGAGAGTGAGCCAGGTCAGTAATAAGCAATGCTGTACTTGAATCAGAACCCACTGTTGTCTTGACTAGGAAGCAGACATGTTGTGTCCCTTTTATTTGCTTTTTTTTTTTTTTTTGAATGCTGAGTAGCTTTAAAACAAAGCCACTAGAATTAATGATTACTTACGTTAATGTAGCTCATGCATATTTAAGGTATGCAGCTGTAGTTTGCTTTCTCTGTTTGTAAAATTAGTCTTGAATCATTTCAGTGATAGATGTCAAGTTCCTTATACGTTTATTTTGAAAGTATAGTTGTGAAGGTACTGCAAAAATTTCTTACATTAAATGCAATAATATCTTTTTTTTTTTTTCCCTGCCTCTGCATAGCCAAAGAATTGCACAATCTTCTGCAGCCGTTTTTGCTTCGAAGAGTCAAGTCTGAGGTGGCTGCAGAGCTGCCAAAGAAGGTGGAAGTGGTTCTGTACCATGGAATGTCAGCTCTGCAAAGGAAGTACTACAAGGCCATTTTGACAAAAGATCTAGGTAACTGAGAGGTTTGAACCCTATCAGCTAATTTTATAACCAGAATTAATTTTGTAAATCCGTGCTCTGTTATAGTGAAGGAGAAGATACAAATTTTCCAGTAGTAGTATATATGCCATACAGCAAATTTAAATGTACTGGATGTAGATGTGAGTTCCTTAGGAAACCACAGGGCCATGTAGACAATGCAGCCACGGACTCTTACCATAATAGCTCACTCCTTGTCACTTCACATATGAACTAACTGTAACAAAGCACCCTGAGATATGAAAGTATTTGCTTCTCTCTGAATTCCTCCTCTTCCATGTATACATACCATGTCATATGGCTTGCCAGTGCTTATGTAGGGAAAGTAAAACTGGGAGGATGGAGACCCTTTGTTCTTCTAGGGCTAATGCCTGGTGCATCAAGGAGCCAATGGCACTTTGAATGTGCATCACCTGGCAGCCTGATCATTCTAAAGTCAGCATATGTGCACATACCCTTTTTCTCCTTGCAAAAAATGCAACCCTTCTTAGTGTTCTGCTGTACTACTTTGTTTTGTTGGAAAATTCAAATGAACTGCACCAAATTTTCACTCTTTTTGATGATTTCTAGGTCTACAATTCACTCGGAAAAATGATAGTGACCCTTTCCAGGGAGTCTGGAAAGTTCCAGGGAGTTTGACAAGGCAGAGTAGTTTTCGTCAGGGTCTTTTTCTAAAGAATGGGAGGGCAATTTTGTTCGGCCCACAAAAATAGATGTGTTAGTCTTGAGATGGGAATTCAAATGCAGATGTGATATGTAGAAAGAGATAGTCCAGTGCTGAAGCATTGCAGAGCAGCACTCGGTGCCCGGACATTCCCAGTCACACCCATTGGTAGAGTGTGGGCTTTGCTGCTCAAATCCTTTTCTGTGTTCTTTGTTCCAGATGCATTCGAAAGTGAAACAGGAAGGAAGGTTACACTTCAGAATGTTTTAATTCAGCTTCGGAAGTGTGTTGCCCACCCATACCTTTTCAATGGTAAGAAAGCACTCCTCTCTCTTGAAATAGAAGTTTCTTGATTTGCACAGTGTTTTTCTATTATTGCTTGGCAGTGCAATGCTTAGAAGAAGCAAGTAATAAACAACGTTGTACTTGAATCAGAACCAGCTGTGAGTTTGTGACCGGTTCCAACATATGACAGTTCATCAATAATGAGGAACAAAGTAGGGTACTCTGGGAACTCTGAGTCTCTGAACTCTGAGAGCAAAGCTCTCTGCTTGTTTCCTCACCAATGCACCTACTCTCACCTAAAGAATGAAATCACAGTGCTTTGTGAACTACTGAGGGTGTTCTTTAGAGACAGAGAAGGACCATCACTTCTCAAGGAAGCATCATGGGGGTCTGCTTGGTGATAGTTGGTGGCGCAGACACACTGAGGTTGACGACTGAGTTGTTACTTGCATAGCATTAGGTCTGCTTCTGAAACTCCTTTCTGTTCCAGGTGTTGAGCCAGAACCCTTTGAGATTGGGGACCATATTGTTGAAGCCAGTGGCAAGCTGTGTTTGTTGGATAAACTACTTTCATTCTTGTATGCTGGGTATGTCATGTTGGAGTGGGGAAGACAGGGTGGGGTTGATATAGGGAGAACAGGTAAACTGGGAGGTCAGACTACCTTATGTAGCCATAGATTGAGCAGATATTCATCACAACTCAAGTGCTGCCCTATTTATTGCACGTTACTGACTACCTGAAAGAAGTCATTTCAGTATAAGGAGCTGCATTAGAGTTGGTAGAGGAACCTCAAAGATTTTTGTAGCTTCCCTTTAAATGTTTCTCAAAACACTTCACTAACTCTCTCACGTGTTCTCATATTTGCTATATTTGGGAACCTGGGAGAACTACCATCTGACGTGGTATTCAGCATATCTGGTTTGACCATGGGTTTCCTGAGAGTAGCTTCTGTTGTGTTAGCTTGGGAGGCAGAATGCATAGCAACTGTGAAAAAGCAATTTGACTGGACCAAAAACCAAGGATAAACTGAAACTTCAGCTTTGGGAATGGCAGTCAGAACTCGTGGTGCTGTGCTCTGTTTGCAGAGCTTCAGACCTTGGGAAGTTCTGATGTGGTTGTGGAGGTCTTTGTCCTTCTGCTGTGTAGCACCTTGTGAGTGGGTGCTTCTCCCTTGAATGTCAGTGCCACAGGACTAGCCCTGTGCAAATTCTGGACTTAAAAATGCTTGTGTTCTGCTCTACAGTGAAGTCTGATTTAAACAGAGTACTGAGGCCTAGCTGGAAGGGAGGAGAGTTGATTTCTCACTTATACATGATTATAGGCAGAGTTTGATCTTTGAGGGTCATTTGCTGGAGGAAGAAATGCTCTGCTGTCAGAGAGCTGCTGTATTACATTTTCCCAGCATTTAAGATGCTCTGTATGTATGATTTGAGAGCAGTCTAGTGTGGCAGGTCGTGTGGTGAGGAAGACCTGATGCTAGGTTGAAGCTGAGGATCCTTTTAGATCCTTTTGGATACTCACCAGGCTGCATCCATCTGGCAGAGCTGTGCCAGAGCCTCGTTACATCTCTGTGACTCCAGATTAGACACAGTGGCTGATGATGGCACGTGAGGCAGACTGGTTGCATCTGGACGTGGGGCTGAAAATGTGGTGAGGAAATGGGCCGTGACTGTGAGGCTTAGACTACATGAGTGATGAGGCCTTGCCATATAACAGTGACTGGTTAAGCTATTGTAACCCCACTACCACTCTGTGAAACACTGTCACGGCATGTTGAGGCTCATGGTGTCTCATGTTCTTCTTCTTCCAGTGGCCACCGTGTCTTGCTCTTTTCCCAAATGACTCAACTGCTTGATATCCTGCAAGACTACATGGACTATAGAGGTATGTTCTGCACGCTTTGGCAGCAGAGGGCTTATCCTAATGATCTCTGCTATATATTGTTCCTGTGATTTTGTTTCATCTGCCTGGGAGGGAGAAAGGACTGTGGTGAGGATTTATTGCTTCTTAGCATATAGAAACCATATTCCCACAATGGTGCTATGAGTTGGAGGGTCTTGAGTTCAGATCTTTGCTGTGTTACCACCTGCCTGAAATGAGCTGGCACTTAAATGTTATTCTTCAAAGTACTTTCAGCTTTGGTTCCTTGATAAAATGGAGCGAACAGATGGCAGGGTAGCAACGTTTCATTATGTACCTGAGTCCTGAACTAATTGCACTAAAGGCAGTAGTCTTGCTCTAGACTCAGTTTGTCCAGCACAAAACATGAATTGGGACACATTCATACCAGGAAATTAAATTTTGGTTAAAACAGTTGTTGGCAGTGGGGCCCTGATATGTCTGCAAGGGCAGGTTGGATCAGACTAGTTTTGGCCAGGTTACCAAAGTGTTTTTGGGACATTTTCTTTTGTTTCAATCCACATGGCTCCATGCCTACATAGTATTTCTCATGAAAGAGGCTTTTGTTTGGTGTTTATGGTTTTGGGACAACTAATAATCCAGGATAAAGCCAAATGTAGGGCCGTATCCCATATTGCTTGCCCACAGCAACACATTGAAGGCCATGGGAGTTTGCATAAGGAGGATCCAATGGTTGTTGACCTGTTTTGTGGGGCCAGGAGGCAGCGCAGCATAGTCTGAAATGGGACTGTGTGCTAATGTTCTTTTATTTTGGCTCTGAATTTTCCTGTTGTGTTTCCAAGCAGTAAATGAAATGCTAAGACTCTCTGCTTCAGACTTGTCTAAATTACCCTTTGCTGACAGTCAATCTGGAAGTTGGGGTCACTACTTAAGTTTATGCCAGGTTTAGCTGGGAAAGAATGAAGGACTTGAAGGCAATAGAATGAGAATCAAGGCTTGAGGATTTGGCCTAAAAAGATTCAGGACAGCAGTGAGACAACAGAGAATGAGGTAAGAGAGTAAGAGCATAGACAGAATTTCAGAAACTTATGTTTTGCTTGTTTGAAAAGGCTACAGCTACGAGCGGCTGGACGGTTCCGTTAGAGGTGAAGAGAGACATCTTGCCATTAAGAACTTTGGTCAACAGCCCATCTTTATCTTCCTGCTGAGCACCAGAGCAGGTGAGTAAGGAAATGAGAGACAACCCATCTTGCTTCTGTATTCTTTTGCTCTCTCTGGCAAGATTTTGGGGAATTCTGAGTCCTGCAGAACCTGTTCACATGGGAGATTTTTGAGGGAGACAAGACAAATCCTGAACTTGGGTCTTTCAGCTAGGGTATCTGTTCTCTGCTTTCCTTTTGGCATCTGATGCCAAGATACTTTTCATATTGCAGCCACTTGAGTTACTTTTTAAATTCCAAGTTCCATAGTGCCTGTCCCTGTGTCAGACTTAAGGAATCTCACTAGCATCTTGTTTCTGCAAGCACCAGACTTTAGGTGGGCACAAGCTTCCTTTAAGTAAGCTGGTGGAATTGCTTCCCAAGTTTGCTGAGCATGGACATGCTCTCTAGCTGGCAGACAGACTCAAATGAGAGTCTTTTACCATCCTGAGACTGCGGAGAACACCATGGGACTGCCATCTGTGCTTCTTCCCCTCTTAGCTACTCAGGTAGATCTGTCGTCTACACAGTTTCAAACCTCCCTGTCTCTCTATTCAAGCAAGTGCCGAGGCAGGCTTGTCTTCAGAGGAGGGATCCACACATCAAACTTGAACTAAGTCTTCCTTTGGGCTTCTGGTCAGACTTTCCTGGATGAGCCTGGCTCCAGTGATACTGCAGTGCATTGAGGAGAGTATGTAGAGAGACCAAAGAGAAGTTCCTAACGCTAGATGGTGGGAAGAAGTGCATCTCTCACCACGGTGCCTGAACTCTCCCTGCCCATGTCAGCCAGACTTAAGAGTTGTTTTTTACTGCACGTTGCTACATCTGGCCAAAGCATCTTGTATTCAGCTGGGAACGGCTGTGCTAACAGTTATTTCCATCACTGTTATGTTATGGACCAAGATTTTCAGGTGCAGAACTGTCTCCATTTGCAGGGATGTTCTGATTACTGTGAAGAGGTGCTTGGCATGAGCTGGAAGAAATGTAAGGCAGCAGGCTCCCTCCTCTTTATCTACAATATATAGTCATAATAGTGGGTTTTAAAAAAATATGATTAACTCTTTTTTTATAATTTTTTTTTTTTTTTTTTTTTTTTTTCATGAGAGCCCAAACTAACCTCAACAACTTTGAGTCATGTAAATACCTAGGCTCTGGTTATTGTATAGTTGGGCCTGATGTTTTCCACTGTTTCAGCAGTGTGTTTACCTGTAGCTTCCATGCTGCAGCCAAGTCATGACTCAGGCAGTCCCTTGTAGGTTCAGTGAAGCCAGTCCTTGCTGCATTAATCTGCCTGCCAGCAGAAGAATATGTCTGAGTTCATCAATTGTGACTGGTTCACTTGCACCCTATCTTTTTTGACTGCGTTGCACAGTACAGCTTGGTTTGGGGCTGTTGCAGAAAGCTGGAAGCTGGAAATGGAAAGCTTACCTATCCTTTTAGATCCTTAAGAGGCTTAGATTTGGGCTCGGGAGATGGATTGAATTAGATACAGTTGATCAGATCTGACAGAGCCTTGCATAGCATAAATTCTCCAGCTTCTCCTTTATATTCTGCTGGTGACATATTTTGTGACCTTCTTCTTTGTTTATAGGTGGAGTTGGCATGAACCTGACAGCAGCAGATACAGTTATTTTTACCGATAGTGATTTTAACCCACAAAATGACTTGCAAGCAATAGCACGAGCTCACCGGATTGGGCAGCACAAGTGAGAAATGTCGCTACTTCTGGTGTGGTTACTGACTCTCTTGGTCTCTCAGGATTGTTTTCCCTGTCCATAGGCAGTGGAGGGTTAAAGGACGATAGATTGAAGATGAAAGAAGGAGAGCAAAGAGGATTTTATGTCATAGGTTTTTTGTTGCAGCCTCATGCAGACTTGACCTTGTCATATGTCTAGGGTGGGAGCTTTGTAGATTTGGAGGAGGAGAGGGAATCTGGACGTTTGCTTGTACTTTTGCAGTGAGCATTTCTTCTCTGTTAGGAAGCAATTGTATCAGCATTACATTTCTACTGCTTATTTTTGTTGATTTTATTACATCAGCATAACATTTCTGCTGCTTATTTATGTTGATTTTGTTCTTGCCTTTTTTTCTCTACCAAAGGAGTGGGTGGGGGGATGGTGCTTCATGAAAGGAAACAGCTTTAGTGCACCTCAAAAAAGGAAGATAATAAGCATTTTCTTAAACTTTGCAAGGCCTGTAAAAATTATCCGCTTGATTGGACGAGATACAATTGAAGAAATAATCTACCGAAGAGCTGCTTCTAAGCTCCGGCTGACAAATGCCATCGTAGAAGGGGGTCAGTTTGCTCTGGGAGCACCCAAGCCTCAGGGAGCATCAGAGTTACAGGTAAAATAGAGGTATTTGACTCCCGTAACATCTCAGTTTGACACCAGTAATGTCCCAAAGTGTTTCTGTATTTATGTCCGATATGAACCTATCCAAACATGTTTTGGGGGAGATGCGCATTGATACATCAGCTTTTGCATATCTTAGGAACCAAAATAACATCCCAGGTCCAGACAAGATCTGATGTTTGAAGACAGTTTTCACAACACTGAGGTGTATGCATTGCTGAAAAAGGGTGTGGTTTTTTGGAGAAGAGGGGAAGGCATAACCTTGCCTTGGTTTACTTGCTTATTTTCAATTGTAACAGGTCTAAACTGGAAGCTGATTCATTGTTTCTAGAACTTATCTGTCTCTGGTACTTTTCTCTCAGAAACAGAGCTGATGATAAGTACTTAAGTCAGCTTTCAGCTGCTAGTCTGAAACTTGGTCAACCTTCTGTTGACCTCTTGGCAAATACAGTGTCTCAAGAGTCAGGGCATGATTTATAATTCTGACCAAAAAGCTGAGATTTGTTCTGAGAACTTGGGTTGAAAACCTCAAGCAAAGTGACATTTAGGAGAATATATCCCCTGTGTGCAGCTAAACCTCGGAGAGGTTTGGAATTGGTGTCTCCTTTTCCCTGCTGCCTCCCCTCCCTGCCCCATCAGCATGTATCAGCAATTGCAGTTTCCATGGGAGAAGTGGAACTGAGCCCATAGGAAATTCCATGCAGATATTTTTCTCCCCGTGGATTTTTGTGGTATTTAAGCTTTTGTTTTAAAGGTGTTGGGGACAAAAACAAGCCTGATCTTTCTGGCTATGAGGAAAGCTTCTTGAATGCAATCAGTACAATGCTGTTTTGTCATTTAGCCCTGAAAAAAAAGGACCATTCAAGTCTGGATGGGTTTTGTTTGAGGGAGATACATTGTAGGGGCCTGTCCCATTAGGTGCTGAGAGAACTAAACGTGTTGAAGCATAAGTATTTTGACAGGTAGCATTAAGGCTTAGATTTCTCTACTCCTACCTCCTTTGCATTTAAGCCTGAGAAGTTTTAAGAGACTGGGATTGGCATGGAGTTAGGAGATATTAATACTGAACTTCCCCTTCTCTCTGTTAAAGCTGAGTGAAATCTTGAAATTTGGCTTGGATAAATTGCTCTCCTCTGAGGGAAGTACTATACAAGATGTGGAGCTAGAGAACATCCTTGGAGAGACAAAAGGAGGGAAGTGGGTAACAGATGTTGTGCTGCCACACAAAGAAGAGAGTGAAGAGGAGGATACAGAGAGTAAGTTAAGAATCTAAATACCTACGAAATTTATGATGCTTGGGTGCTCTTAGAGAAGGTTTCCTAGGCAGGGGTGACATTTTTCAAGCAACAAGAAAAGTGGATTTGTAATTGAGTGAGCAACTTGGATGTTGTTCGTGACCTATTTACAAACTTTGTTTCTAAGCCTTTATTGTTAGTTTTCTTCTTTTTGTGTCCTTGTTTGCCTATTTGTAAGAGAATAGTAACAAACACTTGCCCAGTTTGATGGCTGGGGAGCTGAATTCCTTCATGTGCTTCAAATATTTTGAGACCCCATATGAAATTCATGAGAAAAGAAGTATTCAAATTGTAGATGCTGTTTTTTTTCCCACAGAGAACTGTTAATATAGATCTACAGTTTTAGAGCTATAATGGTAACTTAAGAAAAGGCTATATAGCAGGTGTTTTGTATTCATCTCCCAACAAAAGATCATTGGCCATGAAAACCACAAGCTAAAAAAACCTTAAAAAAATCTGAAATGTGAGATAAGAGCCACAGAGTCATGGAGTCTAAACTAGAACAAACCTACTCCATCTTTAGTGCTCTACCTTCCAATCTGAATTGTCACAATTGTGAGTAGTTTTTCATAGCCCCATACTATATGAGAATAAATTCTAAGGATACTTTCCCTCTTCTAGTGTCATGGTGAGAAAGACTGCATTTCTGTTCTGAGTACATAGTAGCACTCAAATATAGATCTGTGACTGAAGCAGAAATGTGGCCCTGCAGATTAGGTATTGTCCATCCTGTAGCAGTTACCAGCAACAAGTAATTATTTGCTGAGAGTTAGTAAAGAGTGGTATTTTCTGTTGGTAACTTAGAGGAGCAGTGGTACCACACTGTGTAATAGTTATTGAGAAGATAGTTCACCTGAAGAACAGTAACTCCTGTCTGCCAGAGTTCTGTGCTTTTTTTTTGTTTGGGAATTCAAAAGCAAAATCTTGCTGTCCCTTTACAAGGGTTGCCTCTAATTAGGTAGCAAAGCTAAATGCTGGCAGAGATGGAATGACCAAAGAGAACAGTGATGGAGCCACAACTTAAAATAGTTAATTGACCAAATAGGAAGAAAGGTTCTTTACCAGTATAAATTACTTAAATTAAAAGCTTTTGCTTAAGGAAGCAAATGATGATTCTCTTGTTTCTACTTGATGCTGACACTGGTCATATAAAAAAATTACGGGAGTGAACTTTTTTTTCTGTTGAAGGGTGTCACAGAGAAGCCAAATTTCTTTTGATCTTACTGTACATTTTAGGTATTAGTGGCTTTCAGTTCCTTTTTACACTTTTTAATTATTTTTTAAAGATCACATGTACGTGTACGAAGGCAAAGATTATTCAAAAGAACCCAGCAGAGAAGACAAAAAGGCATTTGATCAGCTTTTGGATCTTCAGAAAGCCTTGACTGAAGAGACCAGTAAGGAAGGGAGAGCTCTCCGGAACAAAGCAAATGTAAGACAAAAGACATGACAAAGCACATGATGCTCTTTCATTTGCTTGTGGAAAATGAGGCTGACAGTTTTCTCTCTACCTACAGCTTCCAAAAGGCATGTTAAAAGATTTGGATGTCAATATAGTAGAGCTGGCTCTTGAATCTGAGGGCTTGACAATTCAATAATTCTGATAACAGATCAGAGATGCGATATGCAGGGCAGTCATAAACTTAGGTCACGAAAACCCATATTACGTGACAGTTGAGACCTGTGGACAAGTAGACAAATGGGAAAGGAGTGTAGGTTAAGGTACATACCAGACATGGCTTTAAGATGAGCAGTTTGTTTCCATGATACTTCTTTCTTCCTCCAGGCCCTTCTCACAGGCCTCCGGGAACAGTCAGCCAGGAGGAAGCACTTGTTGAGCGCAGAGGAGCTGGAGGCTCGGAGGAAAAAGCGCCTAGAAGCAGCAGCAAAGAGAGCAAGGCTCATGGAGGAAAAGGCGGCAGCAAAAGCAGAGGCTGAACACAAGAAAAAGTATGGTTTGTACTGCATCTAGTAGTAAGGTGATGTCTGTTACGTTAGAAATGTGTGTCTGATGAGAACAAGTCGTGCTCTGTATCTGCTCTGGCAGGTGGGGCTGGGGATGAGGGGAGAAGGAGATGACGAAATGACTGCAGGCCACCCTCAGGAGAGTTAACTTCATACATCAGGATGTTTCTCTGTGTGTACTCAAACTGTATAACACAGGGATGTGAAGGTGGGAAAATGGCTTGAGCCCCTAGCAAGGGTTCTTTTCCTCTGAATGCACTGCCTGAGTTCCCATCTAATTTAATTAATAGACTGTGGCCTGAGTAAGAACCCCATATCTGAATGTACCATGAGATTTTGGGAGAAGTTTTTTGAAATGTCACAGTTGGCCCCTATGTATTGGACTGACATCTGTGGCTCTGGCCTGTCTCTTAAATTTCTCCTCGTTTCCTAGATGTTCCTCCTTTTCACCACTCTAGCTCCTTGCCCATTGTTATATGCTCACTTTTTCCATGCATTTTGCATTTTGTTTATCACACTGGCACGTGGCTCTTAATATTACAGATAACAACTGTTGTAAACTTTGTTTTGGTCTAAAATAGGGGAGGGGAGCAGAGGGAATGCAGGTCTCGGTCTCCTGTGTTTCACTGCAATGATGTAAAACAAGGTGCGTGCCCCCAGTCTTTGATTTTCATTGAACATCATCTTCTCTTTTGTTTCAGGAAGGCCTGGTGGGAAGAAAATCATTACACATCTACCTGCCTGCCTTCAGAGGAAAGTGACTCTGAGGATGAGGCTGGGCTGAATGTGGATTTAGATTACAAAGATGCAGACCTGAACTATATCAAGTATGTCATGGGAGACGTCACTTATCCCAAAGCAGAAGAGGAAGATGCCATCATTGTCCACTGCCTGGGTGGGTCTTCTAACAACAGGAATGTTGTTGGGTGAGGTGGACAGGGGGACTGAATTGTCCCTACTAGCTCAGTAGTTTCTAATTCCCATCCAGACAGAAATAATTTGGATTTGAGTCTGACTTAATCTTGAATGGTTCAGAGGCAATACAGCCTCTACTCCACCATGTATAACCCACACACAAGTACTAGTAAAGTGTACTTGGGTCTTTCATGCCCTCTCTGGATTTATGGATGAGCTTCCTGAAAGGTGCCTGTACAGCTTGAAATTTTCTGTCTGTGGCCAAGTGGGGACAGTTCCTCCTGAGAGCTGAGCCTTTTGTTCATCCCATGGCAGCTGTAGGGATTGAAAACCATCTCCCTTACACAGTCAGCAGAGAGAAATGGGCACTTCCAGAGACTGAGGTCAGAGTTTCTCTTATCGGTGCTTGTCTCAACACTGACAGTACAGAAGCTCTAGGCTGGTCTCCTAATTTAAGGACCTATGTTAAGACATTAAAGCTGAGGGAGAGAAATTCACAGAATCATAGAATCATCTAGGTTGGAAAAGACCTTGAAGATCATCTAGTCACGTTACAGAATTCCTCTTGAATTGGTGTAGGAGCCTCTCTTTTACCAGGGCTCCAGCAGAACATTATAATCTGCTTTGGTTTATGTTAAACTGAGCACAAAACCTCATGTTTAAAGTGGAAATGGCAAGTAAAATAACAAACACACCTTGTTGTGGGAAGCCCAGGGCACCAATCTGGGCACATACTGGGTGCATGCTCTGTGCACCTGAATGCACATATGTGAGGATACTGACAGGTTTATATGCTTAATGCCATGGTCGGTGCCTGTTTGAGCATCCTCAGTGGACAGTAAGAAGGAATTCTTCCCACAGAGTTTTTCAGGGAACTGTGACGTTTGTTTTTCTCAAGGGCTGAGGTTTACCCTCTAGGATGGTCCCTTGATTTACTGGTTGACTTCAGTTCATGTGTGGTTCCCATTATTGATAATCATTCATTGTGTTTCTACAGAGTGGGTCCCTTTCCTGCAGGGGTGGTTTTCAAGCTCACTTTCTAAAAGTAGTCTAACTTGTCATTTCATTCTAGATGACTCCGGCCGCTGGGGAAGGGGTGGTTTATTTACAGCTCTGGAGGCTCGTTCTGATCAGCCAAGGAAAATATATGAGATGGCAGGAAAGATGAAAGGTAAGAGGTTAAAACGTGACCTTAGGCCAAGATACTTGAAAATGCTTAAATCGCACCGATGTGGCAGGAGTGAGGTGCCTGGATACCTTGAAACTCAAGTTTTTCCCTCTTTCTCTAGATATGTGCTTCCCTAGCTCTTAAAGTAGCAATACAGGGGGTGCTTTGACTTGACTTGTTTGGAGTGTGAGAACTCTGCATAGGGCTTGGCCATTCTGATCCATGCTGCAAATCATAAAGAAAAACAGAAAAAACCCCAAGCTAGTTCATTATTTACAGGATTTTTTTCACACTATAAGACAAAGCACTGTATCTTCTGTCAAAGTGCTCTTAAGAAGGATGAAAGCCACCTCAGGCAGTACTCATATTTGAGCCTTTGGTTCCCTCCAAGCACTAATCTTCTCCTGAGCATGTATTAGCAGTTCTGAGCTACCTGCAGCTGGTAAGAAATGCACATCTTGCTGTAAGGTGGACCTGTTATTTTTTCTAATTTCCCGGGAGATGCTTTCTTGTTCCAGTGTCTCACTTTCTATTTGTGATCTTTAACTGGGATGGGTGTCTCGGGGTGGCTGGGATGGGGTTAATGTCTGTCTTGTTTTGCTGGGCAAAGGGTCTGACTCTGAAACCATCACAAGATAAAGAAAGCAAAGGAGAATATTTCAGAATGTGGTAGTGAAATCACTGCTGTGTTGATTGCCTGTTGACTCTTCAGGACTCATTTTTTGGTTGTTGTTATTCGGTTCTTGTTTTCTGGACAGACCTTGAGTTGGGAGGAACCCTGTTATTCCCCATTGATGATAAAACATCCAGGAAAAAAGGACAAGACTTGGTGAGAAGGAGAAGCTCCTTTTTTTGTTGCTCTGTGCACATGTTTTTGAAGCTGTGTGAAATGAACATCTTTTTCCTGGTAACAATGACACTGCATACTGAACATGGCTAAGTTGCAGTTAAACATTAGAGACATCTTTTTCTCATTTATTAAAGCTAATAGCTAGTAATGCAGTTTTCCAGCAGCTATCGCTGTGTCTCTTAGTTCTGTATATAGACTGCATTTCAATTTTTTGTGTGATTTCTCCTTAGCTGGCCTTGATTGTGGCTCAGCACCGGGATCGGTCCAACAATTTGTCTGGCATTAAGCTGTCTGCTTTGGAAAAGGGCCTGAAGAAGATTTATTTAGCAGCCAAGAAAAGGAATGGTAAGTGTCTGTGCAGCAGAACAGTGAATCCTTACATGTGTGATTTCACCTAAAGAAGGAAACCAATTTCCACCTCTCCTGTACTGTTTTTTCTGAAGTGAGGCAAGAGTGAGATCTCCACAGCAGATGTGTTGTGTTCCACAATATTTCTTCTGGTTTTGTGGGGTAGTTTGAAGTCCTTATCTAGATTGCTTTCTTTATGCGTATCTTGTCCTAAAGAATGTGCACTCTTTGTTCCCTCCTCCTCAGCAACAGTACATCTTCCACGTATTGGGTATGCAACAAAAGGTTTCAACTGGTATGGTACGGAGCGGCTCATCCGAAAATATTTGGCAACACGGGGTATCCCCACTCTTATGTATCCTTTTGGAGTGTGTCTTATGTTGTTCACAATGTAATATTGAAATGATCCCCTAAATATCTTGGTGAGTGCAAAGCAAGGAAACGAGGCAAGACACAGATGCCACAGTCCAGCTAAAAACTTCATGTCTCTGACTTTTCTGTTGCCCAGGTACTCATTCACTCACCATTTTGGGGCATAATGACAGAGTAGTGTGATTCAATTTACCTGTCAGAATTTGTTAGAACTATGTGCTAGTCTTCTGTTGACAGCCATCCACTTATCTGTATATGCCACATCTGTGGGGGAGATGATTGGAATTTTAGAGTAACAGAGGTGACTTGGAAAATAGCAGAAGTGAGAATGTGAAAAAAACACTACAATGTTCCAAGCAAGTGATAACCTGCTTCCCTGGCTGAACATGGTGGAGTTGGTGTGTGTTGGGACAGGCTCTTAAAACAAAATAGCTCATTGCTTTCACCTTCCAGGAAAGGGAACAGAGGTTACAAAGGAGGCTGTATTTTGTGACTTCTCTAGGAAGATATGCATTTGCTGTACTGCCACAGTCAGCAGTTCTGTGAAACTGAAAACCTGAAACAAAGAATAGTGTTCAAAGCATTCTGCCTCCTTCCTTGGTGAATCTCTTAGTGGACATGTTGTCTGACATTCCTTGGCACTTGGCAGCATTTCCTTGACACTTCTTATTAGATACTACTTCCCTAGGAATAAAGGCTCTTCCTCTACTTCACAACAATATTCATCTTCAATGACAGTCTCAAAGCCATGAAGATGCAGTAATTTCATTGTTCCCTCAATTTTTTGGACAAAAACATGCAAAAAGCCCAGGATCTTTACAAACTGTCTGCATGATGTTGAATGCATCCACTTCATAAACATGCCTTACACAGCCATTATTTGCCCCAGTGTCTCTCTGCCTTTATTGACCAGAATATTTACATACTGTCAGTTGCTCTGCAGAGGAATGAGACTGCTTCATTGTTCAGAGAGTCTTTGGATAAGGATGTTGGCTTAATCCCAGAATCTGTTTTGGAGATGGAAAATTAAACTTTCACTGATGGTCAGTTCTTACCCGTTACATTAAGTTATTGCTAGAGCTTGGAATGTGGTATTGTTTGGCCATATTTTTTCTCCATGTCACATTTCATCCTGTGTCTCATTATACCTCGTTTCAATCAGCTTTTTAGTGGTTACCTGAGACTCCACATACATGTCCCCATAGACATCTCAGGGGAAAGGAAGCTGTCTGCATTAACACCACCACATGACAACCACAGAGTAAAAACAGTTCATACTGTTCCAGTTCCCCAGAAGTCCATCTGACTTTATATTTGTTCAAATACAAAGCATAATCACATGCTTACAATCAAGCAAAATCCTGACCAGTATTCTTGGCAAAGGTGTGCAAGGCTGCCAAAACTTGAGACTGGCTTTATAAATGACACCTTTTCTTCTCCCACAGCTGCTTTTTCATTACACAGTTCTTTGCTACAACTGTTGGGCAAAACTAGTTCCTTACAAAAGTGGTGTGAAAGGTTCCATGACCCTTTGATTGACTTTAAGGAAATCTTAATGCACAGGTTTTGGTGTTGTCTTTTATTTATTGCAATAGAACTTTCCTGTTGTTTGCATTGTTGGCACTGTTGGCTTTAGCATATTTTTTAGGTTGTGGTTGTTTGTTTTTTTTTGTAGTACAACCAGGCAATAGTAGCTCTCATAATAAGTGTTTTGACTAGAGAGACTGTAAGGTGCCAAACTTAATTCAGCTTAAAATTCAGCTTCCAATAGGAAATCACCCCACGAGCAGTGGAAAGTATGTCTTTAAATATCTAATTGCCAACACACATCTCGCTGGCTGCATTTACACTGCCTCTGTAGCACCATCTGGTTACTTAATAATTTCAGGCCTGATTCTGACCTGACTCATCACACTGACTGGTGGGCTCCACACTAGAAGTCCTCCTGAGTTGGCTACTCTGTCATTCACTCTTAGCTCCACCAGAGAACCCCAAGTATTTCCTGATCTCCTTGACCCTGATGAAATTTTGGTGTGTAGCACCTCTGTGGGTAAGTCCTTTCTTGCAGCTGCTTGCAGGAGCGGCCTCTAGATATTTGGCAAAGGACTTGCAGGATAAGAGTCTGACTGTGAGGATTTCTGGGGTGCAAGGTGGTGGGTGGATGTACATTACCTTGTTTTCTCCGTCATGGAACTGGCAGTCTTCCAGCAGGCCGGCTGGTGGCACTGTTAATCAGCTGCAGCAGCACATGTTGCTCTTCGGCCTCATTTGAGAGCAGGGCAGTGATCTCCAGCCTGGAAAAACACTTCCTCTTTGCCAGAATTAAAACACCAATTATGCTTTTCTCTTTGCCAGCTTGACTGAACACGTAATTTCAGTCAGCAGATTTAAGGCTCTGTGCCTCCACCTATTCTTTTCCTGTATATTTATTACCTTTCTTTAAAAGGTTTCATTCCCAAGTGTTCCACTGTGTGCAGTCTTGTTCCTCAGCTTCACACACACCTATGGCCCAATCTCAGCCCGACCACGGGTTCTCTGGCTGCCAAGCAGTTACACATAGACAAGATTTGTTTTGTGGTTGAGTCCTCCAGAACAGGTTGAAGTAGTGCATCTACCTTTTCCTGTTTGAGGCCTCATGCTTTCCTTTGTTTCTACAAATGTTTCTACAAAGATGCAGTTCTGCCTTTGTCCTGTGCCCCCCACCCAGCTATAACTGTGTTAAAAAGGAGAGGAGAGCATGACTACCTGCCTGTTGATGTCCCTTACCCTCTAAGATAAGTTCCAGAGGGGGGCTGCCAAGTTCCTGGCATGCGCAGAGGAAAGGTCATGGTATGCAATAGATTCTAGTCCTCTAATTTAGAGGCAAGTCAGACAAAAGATGTTCTCTTTTCGCTCTCTAGTCCACTTGGCCTGTGCAGATGAAATCTACCTTATTTTTTCCCTTTAAATTTACTTAGGAAATGCTGGTTGGGGAGCAGTTGTTGGTTTGGTTTGTTTTTTTTTTCTTTTTTAAGCAATATTCTTTAATACACTTTACATCTGCTGAGCACAAAGAAAAGTTCTACCTCTTATCTGCTTTGAAATGGAAGTGAGATTTCAACTGAAAGAACTGGGTTTCGCAGAGTCTCAGCCAAGTGAATTTTTTCTAGTGTCTGCTACCCACCATTTCTCTTTATTTGGGCAGAAATAATGTATTTTGGATAATTAATTCCATAAAGGGCTCAGCAGCTCATATGCAAGTTGCTATGAAAAATAAATGTGTCATGCTGTTTCTTCAGCTGTGCAGTACTACGCATTTTCCCTTTCTAAATAGCAACCCCCCCAAAAGGGAAGGAAGGTGTCCTTTTGTAGTTGTGTCCCTCTGGCCTCTCTCTTCCTCTAAAAAAGATTTTCTGCAGCATTAAGAGCTGAAATGTGGCTCCTTGTGCCTATCTCTCATTGCACGTTTACTGAAACTTTAGATGTATGCTGCTAGATTGAGGTCAGTGGCACAGAACAAGATCATGCACAGTTCAGATTGGTTATATGAGCAGTTTCATCAGATAGGACTTATGAAGTTGCATCCAGGCTCAGTGAAAAACTTTGCTATCCGCCCCATGCTAGAGTCTCTACTGATGCCATATAAAAGTGGGCAATAATTCAGAATGACAGTTATACTTGTGCTGGCTCAGCTCATCCCTATGTTTCTTACTTGAAAAGGCACTGCCTGTGATTCTCCAAGTACTGTGCAGGCAAATTCTGTCTTTGGTGAGAAATCTCCATGGCCTGTAACTTAAAAATTATCTTTTCATTCTACTTGGGAAACAGTAAAAAAATGGAGAAACCAATCAAGTTTTACAGACATGTGTAGATAGGTGATTTTTGTCACTGAATTTTGTCACAGACAAAAATTATCTGAATATGTTACTGTGTGTTGTGGAAGGAGGAGTCTAGATTTTGGGGAAAGAAAGAGGAAGAGTGTTTTCCAAGGTGATGGAGAAAATTACAGCAAATTCAGCCCCAGTATCTTATAAAAAATATTGTATGTATGTTTCTCCAAACAAGGCACAATCTGGCCCACAAAAATGATCAATAGAAGTATATAAGTAGATGGATTTATTTTAAAATAAGTGAATCTAGTGGTCCTGGGGGGAAAAAAAAGAAAGCAAACCTTTGAGCAAAGAGATGACTTAAGTGTGTCAATTCATGTGAAAACTGACACTACTTCACAATAGATGATCCTAGAAGAGAAGGTGTAGACCTTTATTTAGCTAATTTGACTGGATAGAAGGTCGGTCATACACTGTGATCAGCAAATCAAAATGTAAAATGGAGTGATCTGAAACACTAAGGGATCTGTTATAAGAAGGGATAATGTCCACATTCCAAAAAGTATCTTCTAGTACATCCAAGATCACCTGTGTTCCACAGCTGTGACTGAAAATCCATCTCTCCCTGGTCCTCTGTCCAACTCCTTTTCAGAGTGAAAAATACAAGCCTGAGAAATGCGGTAGCAATACAGATTAGTATTTCCTCTGAATAAGCATATCTCTATCATTTTGAATACCCTGCATGAATGAGTCGGTGTGTGTTGTCCATGCTGGATTCTACCATCTACCCATCTTGGCCTTGGTCAGATGGTATTGCATCTGTGGGAAGACAAATAGAACCTTCTGAAAAGGTGATGAGGACAAAAATTGTCTTGATCCTCATGTTTCAACCAGAAAAAGAATGTTCCTGCTTGCACTTTCTAGCATTTTCTTGAGTATTTCTTCAAAGTTATGGATAGAAACAGTCCCCTCAAGGAACTACGTGAAGTGAGAATGCCAGTCATGTTTCTGTTGGAAAAACAAAACAAAGGAGTGTTAAGGAAAGCCAGAAGCTGCTTCTTGTAAGATCTGAAAACATCTTGGTTTTGCTGCCTTGAGCAGAAAAAAAAATTATTAACTTATTTATTGAAGTAGGTGCAGGACATCTACTAGCCTTCCTCTGCTACTTCCAGTGAACTTGAGGCTGTAGCATTCACATCATAAGATTTTTATTTTTTTTCCTAAATATAAGAGAGACAAGTTAGGAACAAATCAAAGGTATTTATGATCTCATGCAAGTCCGCTGCAGGAAGAGAGAGAATCTGAGATCATATCCCTTTTCTGTGTGCCATATCATGAAACGGGCCAAGTTTGGGCCTGGCTTCATACGAGTGTCCTACCTCTTCATCTTTCTATCTGTTTACACATCTAAGAGCATGCCATAAAGCAGTGCCAGATCCTGCCTAAAAGATCCCCTGGCCACTATGCCAGCAGGAATGGGGAAAATATCAAAACAGAAGGGATGGACAGTGAAGGTGTCTTGCATTACGTGTAGATAGAGCACACTCCGGACCAGAAACCATCTTTGTTTGACATGGGCATACTGGAGTGACTCCAGTGTAGGTCCACTAAAATGCTTCAGGGCTTGGAGCATGTGGCATACCAGGAGAGGCTAGGAGAGTTGGGATTTTTTGAGAGAGGTTTCAGAGTGGAATCAGTGTGTGTAAATGTGTATCGACATGTGGAAATACCTGATGGAAGGGAGTAAAAAAAGGGAGACAGACTCTTCTCAGTGGTATCCACTGAAAGAAAAAGAGGGAGTAGGTCCAAACTGAAATACATGAAATTCCATTTAAAGATGAGAAAAAAATCATTTTCACTGTGCAAGTGTTAAACACTGGAACAGGTTGCTGAGGGAGATTGTGGGCTCTTTGAGATGCTTCAAAACGCAATTTGGCACAGCCCTGAGCAACCTGCTGTAGCTGATCCTGTTCTGAGTGGGGACACTGTACCTCCAAAAGTCCATTCCAACTTAAATGAGTCTTCTGTGAAAGTCTGAGATACGTTCTGGGTACTATATAAAAAAAAAAACAAACCACCAAACAACAAAAAAAAGAACTCTTATTTTACCTATTCAGTAGTGTACAGGAGTATAGCACTTCACAAATTTCTGAACTATGACCCTACCATACAAGGAGCTTGACTCAGGTGAAATATTTTGTCATATCTCAGTGGTTTAAACAGATGATGAGAGATCAATGTGTACAGTGTCTCAGCATCTGCCCCTGAGCCCCTCTTTGGGGTGTTCCTCCTTTGCCAATGTTCCGTATAACAGCTTGACCTAGTTGGGTGCAAGTGGGGCTCCCTGCTGGGTCTAACAGGTACTTATGCCAGCTAGGTCTGGACAGGGCGTAGGTGCTGGTTCCTCTCTGAGGTTTGTATGTATCAGCTGGTTGAACAGGAGCCAGCAGTGTGCCCAGGTGGCCAAGAAGGCCAATGGCATCCTGGCTTGTGTCAGCAATAGCGTGGCCAGCAGGGACAGGGAAGGGATCTGACCCCTGTGCTCGGCACTGGTGAGGCTGCACCTCGATGAGTGGGTTCAGTTTTGGGCCCCTCACCCCAAAAAGGCCATTGAATGACTCGAGCGTGTCCAGAGAAGGGCAACGGAGCTGGTGCAGGGTCTGGAGCACAGGTCTGATGGGGAGCGGCTGAGGGAACTGGGGGGGTTTAGTCTGGAGAAGAGGAGGCTGAGGGGAGACCTC